CCCTAAAAAAACTCACCTAGATTTTTCGGAAGCCTTTTTTCTGGCTGAATTTTTGGAAAAGGTAAGTTTTGATCCCCATAATTTTCGGATCGCTAGACTTTCAGCTAGGAAATCCGAACAGATGAAAAATTTTTAGGGGATAAAAATATGCCCATATCTACCGTTTTTATACTAAAATACGTTTAACAATGCTAGTGGTTTTGAACTATATTCTCGTTGGGCGCCCCTGGGTGTTCAGAGAACCGAGGTTTTGCCAGAACAGTAGACTGCTTTTTATACTTAAATATTTACTTATTTCGACTTTAAAAGCCCTATCCATATTTCCTCAACCCTGTCCGCAACCGCGTCACTTGGCCCTCTGTAAGATTGCCTTCTGACGATGATCGGTATCGTGATACAAGATGGGGCGAAACTTTTAGTTGAGATGAATGGTTTGAGAAACAATATTGCCAAATGCCTACCGTCTTAAGGGACGGACCATTAGGAAAGTTATGGAGGAGGGGAAGGGGAATTTTCGAGACGCAGAAATTTTGTTTTCGTTATCAAATTCCTTGAATGACATTTTTTCAGGCCATAGCATGAATATTTTTTAGGATTAATTGGCGTGCATGCATTTTTTTTTTCATTTGATTTTCCCTTGCGCGAATATTTTTTTTGTACTTCGCCCGCCCCCCCCCCCCTCCCCCATAGGTTTTCTAATGGTCCGTCCCTAAGTAAAGTTTGTAGAATGCATTAATATTTTATGTTCTAGATAACAGATTTTATGCCGATTTTATAGAATGCAACAGTCATTTTTACAGTTTAGTCTTTGAATAAGCGCATATCGGGTTTACTTAACAATGTTGACGGGGAAATAAACGGAAAAGATGTGATTTTGATTAAGATGGCCATGTCGGCTGTCTTTCAAGTTTAAACGATAAACCGGTTGCGTGACAGTATCCTTCGCAGCCGCTCGGGTCGGAGTCACCCAATGCACTTCCGGCCCGTAAGACTACAATCTTACCCAGATTAATGGAAAACCTATACCCCACCCTCCTATCTGAAATGGTGCGTCGCGGCTTCATCCTTGATTCTGTCCAAAATTGTAGTTGTGTGAGGGCGATACTCTTCCGGAATACAGTATCCGTCGGATTAAAACTTATATCGCGTTTAACTGCCGCCTGGTTAGCTCAGTAGGGAGAGCGCCGGTCTGCTGGGGGGGGGTAATGAGTACTGACAGGGAGGTTGGTGATAAGGGAAGGCAATCAGCGGCTTGTCGTATTTTAGCCTTGTCGTTTTACGAGGTTGGGGACTATATTAAAAGTATAGAAAGCAGCAAAGAGGAACTAGCTATTGCAAGGGAAAAGGGAAACAGAAAGAGAAGCATCAGTGTGCGATGTTCTGGCCAGGTCTTATCTGCGCATCGGAGGATACAAACAGAGTATTGAGTACGGTAGAAAAGCACTGAGCATTGCCAGGTATGTACGAAAGAGGGAAAGAGAAATAGACGCACCTGTTGTTCTTTCAGGTTCGTACTATGAGGTTGATGACTATCATGATCTAAGCGTAGAATGTGGCAAACGAGCCCTGAGTATTGCAAAGGAAGTAGGGAAACAGAAAAAGAAAAGCGGACGCATGCGCTGTTCTAGCCTGGCCAAACACAGCATAGAATACGGAAAACAATAGCCCATTTCCGAGTTCTCGCATTTTAGAGATCTGGTGCCGAAATTGACTCGCGAGAGCGAGGCTAAGTGCATTGTATCCTATCAAATTTCAGAAACAAAAGTAAGGCATTGTAAAGGAAGTGGGAAACAGGGCGCAGGAAGCTGCCGCGTGCTCTGTTTTGGCCAGGTCCTACGACGAGATTGAAAAAAACGACATAGCATAGAATAAGGTAGACAACAGATAGTTACAGCAGATGCAAAAGAATTTCGGAAGGGTAGTTCAGCTGGGCCCAGTTGTTCGAAGGCCGATTAGCGCTTAACCCTAGGTTAAATTTAACCCGGGTTTCTTTCTCTTGCGTTTAAAAGCATTTTCTCGGATAATTTTCTCTGTTATTTTTAAAGTTTTCAAAAATCAACTTGCCGACAAAAAGAATTCAAACTGAAATGATTTTTAAGCTTTCATATCTGAATTCAAATCTCGCACTAACCCTGGGTTATCTTAACCCAGCTTTGAACAACTCGGCCCAGGTAAAGACGGCAAAGAGTTCATAATCGGTTTCATTATTCCTCTAATCAAATGTACTGTTAGAATGAATTGTTGTTTTTAAATTACTGGTCAGGATGAAAAGACGCAATAATAGCTTCACCTCGTGAAGTTTATTGACCCTAACATTTGCGATGCTATGACTTATCAGTTCTACCGAACTGTTTTAATAAGTGACTGGACATTAATTGTAAGACCAAATAGAATCATGGCTTAAATGCCGCGTTTGAAAGAACAAGTATACCACTGTGTTGTCATGTTTTACAATCATGCCAAGGTCATTAAAGAAATCCAACATAGTGGCAACTTATCCTCCCCTTCGATGAAACATACTTTCTGGATAATTGTCTAAAGCTAATCGAGGTTCAAAAACTAATTTACAACCATGGCTTATAACCAGCTAGCTGTGGGGAACGTCTAAGGCGAACAGTTCATCTTAGGATTTAGAATACTGATAAATGTCCTAGTTAACTAAATAATAAATTGAAAAGAAAAAGTTTCTAACTAAACCACTTAAGGTGCCAGGTAAGTATAACTTGCTATTCGAGAATAGTAGAAATCCATCAAACTTGTTAAATAGATTCTTTTTTAAAAAAATAAACTATCCTGAAAAAACACATTGGCCGTTCTTATACTAAAGAAGATAGAAAGAATGTATGAGAGCCGCTAAAATTGGGCCTGATCTCAGGTTAAACTTAGGCAAACATTTGTAGTTTGACTGGTTATGCGTCTCAAGTATGAAAACGGGTTCAAACGCATTGTGCGTCTTGTGCCCGTCTTTATACTTGACACGCATAACCAGACGAACTACAAATGTTTGCTTAAGAGGCTGTCCACGAGAAAACCATGCAAAACCATGCAGAAGGTGCTACAGGCTAGATCACAGAATTGGCTTATATTCTGTGAGTAAGTATACTTGGGTGCACTATTTTTAAATATGGTATGATTGGGGTCCAAGCTCCTTTCCTTTGTGTATACGAGGGGGGGTCCCCTCGGGAGACCATTTTTACTGTTATGGAAGGTCGAAATTTCCTGAAGTTTAGTTGCCTTGATCACCAATAATTTACGATGTGAGTGAAAAATGAGTAGCTGGCGGTCGAACTGAATGATTAAACTTCGACTAGACGTATAAATCAGAAACATTGAGACTTTTTACTTCTCGTGACCGTGTACTAACCGAAGGGCAGTTGAACGCTTTTCCAGAAGCTAGAAAAATATTGCACTTTTAAAATTACTTCTAAAATTTCTCGCAAACCTTACAATAAATCTAATATGGGTTATGTTAAGAGAATAAGTTGGATTTTTGTTGTACGCTTTCAAAAATCTGGGTATTGTGAAATTATGGACACGTCAGCCTCGGAACTATGACAAAGTATAAGCCAACACAATCGTTTTATGAAAAATAGCCAAAAAATATACGGAACAGGATACTTAATTGATCGCTCAAAAACACAACATGACACTTTAAAAACATACCTCTGTGACTGAGAAAGGCTGAAGGGAATAATTTTCCCGCTGTGATCTCAGTAAATCTTCTTTTTTCGACGAAATTATGTTACTTCGGCTTCGACGTGTAGCTGGAGAACAGCCATAACCTGTCTCGTGAATATTTTCCCGCTCATAGAACGATCGAAAGTAACTTTCATTTCCAAAAAGCTATTTCTTTTGCTTGAAGGGTGGAAAGCATCTTTTTCGAACGTCTTCATGCGTCTTATGATGCGATAGAAACTACGTCTTTCAGACATGTGTGCATTTGTTTACAACCATCTTTGTTTTGAGCCCGCGAACCAAGCAGTCTGCGATTTTCCTCTATCTAGATTGCTTTGGCGGGAAAGCGCGAACGTTCAGTACAGCTGTAAAAACATTTGAATTCATACACGACGTTGTTAAACCTATATTGTAGAAGACAGGGTCGTATTCGGGCTTAACATTTTCTTCTATGGCTGCAAGTCTAACTTGCTCGTTTTCGAAACACTCGTCGACACCATGTGGCAATTCGAAGCACTATCATATCGTAACATCAAAGAGTACGTGCCACTCAGTAGTTGCAGGAGAGATATAAACAGTCACCTTCAACGGTTGAAAACATCTCAAGCAAACATCAAAGGTGAATGGCAACTGATACTTTTGAGAGCTGGGTTATTTGATGAAGATGGTGAAACGCTCACAATCTGTCCCCTTCACAGAGATATTTTTGATACTATCTGGAATTCAAGTAGACCAGTTACAAAATGCCATCATCCACTTCATGGCCGAAGCAGGGCTAAGCCTGAAAGAGGGATTTCGTTGGACATTTCAAAAGAGATTCAAGTTTACTGGGGAGTTCTCGTGCCCATTGGATCAGGTATTTGTGAACTGTGTGGTTTACCCAGTTTCCCTCTTTCTTCTTTCTTTCTTTTTTTCCAATACTTACTCATTCTGTTCTTTAAATTCTAGGTATATGCATCAGGTGCAGAAAATTACATTTAGCAGAAAGAGGGAAAAGAGAAACACAAATATTTCAGGTGAGTATATATTAACCTCAAAAGTGTTTCCGTCGGTCACACGATTTTTTTGTTTATTTGCAAATTTAGCAGCAAAGTATGAATTATGAGGAAACAAGTAACAAAGTCGCCGTGGTTACTATAGCAGTTCGATCCGATGGTGTCTTACCCTTACTTTTTACAAGAAAATCAGGCAGTTAGAGCCTAAGAAAGTATTGCATTATGCATCAGTTAATTCCAGCTGCGCCCCCACACGGGCTACTGCGGGGCATTTGCCCGCCTTATCAGTCCCGGCGGTGGGGCATTTGCAAATTTTTCGCCCCCCGGGGGCCGGGCATTTATTTGCCAACCCCAGGGCTATTCCCGAGTTTTTGACACGCGCGCGGTTTCCTATCAGAATACCCTAAACATTCCCGGGGCTTATATTTTTCAAAGGCCCTTTTTGAGGGGCTTATTTTTGGAGAGGCTTATATCGGAGGGACTTATCTACGGAAGGAAATTTGCGTTTCAAAATCGATTGGGCTAGCCCTATAGTTGGAAGGAAATTTACCGTTTTGGCAGGAGGTTTTGGCTTTGTTTTACTTTGTATTTGAGGGCACTTTTCCAAGTATAAGCCTCCAGGGGGCTTATATTCGGAGGGGGGATTTAACGGAGGGTTTTTTGCGTTACCGGTTTGGGGGGCTTATATTTGGAGGGGCTTATACATGGAAGGGCTTATTTACGCAATTTTATGGTATAACTACACAGAGGATATTACTGGAAAAAAACGCAGATTAGCTCATCTATCAAGGACAGGGGGTTGTAAAGGCATGTTCTCGATTTTATGCATGCTTGTTAAGCCGGAATTACCTAGCGTAACTCGGGAGCTATCGACGTGAATTAACGTTTTTTGGTAAGTGAATCAAATTTCTGTTGATATTATTTGAAGAACATCCTTTCATATTTATAACATATTCACAACATATAACTTTAAAGGGTACTATTAATTCTAATGTCAATAATTTTATATCAATACTAAAACCATAAACTGGTACATATCGTCGCGGCGTGAAGTCTTAATTAGAATCTAATCACTATTACAAAGGAAGACGTTACTTGAAACAAAAAATCGCTCATTAAAATGTTTAAAACGGCACTATTCGACTGTGCAATCAATGAAAAATGTTGCAGTGTTGACGGAGGACGGGGCATTTGCCCTCTTTTCTCGTCCCCACCCCGGGGATTTGACAGCTCAAGAGTCTCCACCCCCGGGAATTTGCGATCCAAGGCAAAAAAAATGCCAATGCCCGAGGGTGAGCGCTGGGCGCAGCTGGAATTGACTGATGCATTATGATATTATTTATATCGCTCAGAGTTCTGCATAGGATGCCTCTCATCAATCCACTCGTTCTTTCATTTCTTCAATTCTTCACTCACCCACTTGATCGCTCAATCACATATTTTTTTCATTCATTCATTCTCCAGTATGTGCGTTCGTCCGTTCGTTCGTTAGTTTATTCCTTACTTCCTTTCCTTCGTTTGAACGTCATTCAATAAGTTCCTATTTGTAATATTTTACATTTACCAGGTGACATCCGAACACACAGGCGATGTTGAGAATCCTCCTTATTGCGATCTTAAAAACCACGTGGTGAGTTTCCTTTCAGGGACGCTTCCCCTACAATCCGTTGAACGGTATTTGGCTATTGCTGATCCTTTTATAAAAACTAAATTACGGTTTAAAATTCTCCACGCACATTTACAGTCATCTACCATGAATAATATTTTCCTTATTTCAATTTATTTTCGAATACCTCTCTTGAAATCATTTATTTTTTTCACCATTTTCTTTTCCTTCTATTCTTTTTCTTCTATTTTCAGGTGGAGTTTCTTTCGAAGTTCCTCTAGCAGTAAGTAAATGACTGAATGACAGGCGGCTCCTTTGGATTCAGATCCTGCCACTGAATTAGGCGACTTCATAAACGTTAGAGAAAATCGTCTTGTGGATGAGTGTCCGGTATGTTTATTTTTACTCATGCATTGATTTAACACTTATCATAAACGAGAGATTAGTTCACAGATATTAATCATCTACATTGCTCTTTATTTTTCTAGGCTGAATGTAATGAACATGAAGTGAGCATTGGTAGTCCTCTAGATGAGTCATTGCCAGAAGAAGACATTTCATATGAATGGTGTTCTACTCCATGTGTGAAATCGGGACTGAAAGCGGTGAATGAGTTTATCCGCTCAGCTCCTTCTGCTCGTGGTAGGGTAGATCCAGTGGTTCGTCAGTTGACTATACCTTGGAAGGAAGCTGCACCAAGCACACAGAGATATTACAGACAGAAGGGGAAAGAGATCGTTGAAGTGGCTCTGGATTGCCTTGCTCCAGGGCAAGCCATAGAATTACTTTCAGAGTTGATGAAACATATGGAGAAAAAACAGAAGCAAAAGAGCGTAGATACTGATGTTAGCGAAATATCGCGCCTGATTAAATTGTACGAAGAGGCCAACAGTTGGTTTACTAAAAGGCAAATCCTGTCAGTATTTGTAAACGATTACTCTAAAGCTCAACTTCAGCTGCTTATTCCTGGAGTAAGCATGTGGGCGATAGATGAGGCAAGAAGGCATGCCGCTAAGGTGGGGGTGGGTAAACCAGTGCCTTAGATGGAGGCCATTACACGCGCAAGACAGGATTCAAGCAAAGTAGAACATTTTCTAGATTTTATCAGCAGACCAAATTTCGTGCAAGATGTTGCCTACGGAACAAAAACGCTAAAATTGTCGAATGGGGAGAAGATGGAGATTCCAAACGTGGTTAGGACAGTTATTGCTTCAAGGATTGTGGAATTATACCAGCAGTACTGTCAGGAAACCGGTTTCCTCTCACATGGGAGGTCAACCCTCTTCAGTATTTTACAGGTACGTATCAAAACAAAATCACGATTCAAAATCAGACGAAGAGCGAAAATAAAAAAGAAAAAGTGAGTTTTTTTAAATTCTGTTATCTCATTTACATATCACGAAGATATCATTATATGCATTGTAGCTCATTGTGTCAGGTCTCTTACTTTATACTACTTCTTCGGCTTGATTAACTGAAAATTACTTTAGTCATATAGGTGGGGATTATAAAAGAGCAAAAGCTCTGGATGAGAAAAGCAGTGAAATATGAACACGAGGAGAAAAATATAACAAAATGTCATTATTGTATAGACTTGTGCAGCATCACAAAAGAAGTCTTTGGCAGGACTTGACAACATCGCTACAGAGGGATCGCAAGCCTTCGATACACTCGAAGACGTAGTAAACAGGCTAGGAAAGTTAGGTAAGCTCAGGTTGATTGAAGTTTTGTCCCGGGGAGGCCTGTATCTTCCCATTTTGTTTCTATATAATGCTATTTTTCACTGCACCTTTAACACTCAAACCACCCAACCTCCTAGGCCAATTTAATTTTTGGACTTTATATTTCTTCTTTAAGGTTTGTCGAAAACATTTTTTAAAAAGCATATATTTTATACTGTGCAATTTTAACAGAGGCCTCGCCTCTTAACGCAATTGAGTATATATGAGCGGCTTTATCTTAAATAGTAGTAATTAAAAAACGGGGTGGTAACATTAGCGTGCCTTTTTAAAGGTAAAAGTTCAGCCTGGGTTCAAGGTGCTAAAGATCGCTTGAAAGCTGGTAAAAGCTACCTTAAGACAAACTTCAAGATCCGCGTTTCTGAAGAAAGCCAGTGTGCTGATCATTGCGGGGTATTTGCGTTGTCTGACCCTGAAGATCATCTCCGTGAGCATGAGCACACGAAATCATGTCAAAGCTGTGACAATATCAAGAATGTTCTTGATGAAATAGAACTTGTATTGTCATCAAGAGACCTTCACTTCAGGTAAACGGTTACTGATACCATGTTTTATAGTCTTCTTCTTTCAAACCAAAAACCTAAACTTTCTTGCAGTCAAAACCAAAGAAAGAAGACAGATTTCTCCCCTAACAGATTTTGTCTTGTTCAGTTTATCGTTAATCGTTTCATTTTACACATGTAAAAAATTTCTTCACAGGATATCACGAGAAGATATATAATGTAATTTTACCTGATCATGAAGAGCAAGTTTTCCAATTGTCATATCTTAATCACCTTTTTTGCAATTGGAAATGGGTGGCTCAGGTGACTGAAATCTACAGTTGTGTAACTTCGGAAACAGTGCTGCGTTTACATAATTAAACAAAGGATCAGGAAAAATATACCGTGCAAAGACAAGCAAATGATGTCGCCCTAAAACGTCAACAAATTATAATTACAGCTTTGATAATAGAACGAAACCATTTTTTATTTTGATTTTTAGATATCAAGACGAAAAGGAGGAACTAGAGCATGACATTAGTAACGCTATAGACAAGATTGAGCGATGGAAGGCCCACATCTTAAGAGCAGTACACCAGGACGTAGCAAAGGATGATATCCTCACCAATATGACGCCAGAGCAAGCTTTAATTATCATGGATTGGGCAATGAAGTTCCTTCCTTTGAAGTATAGGGAAACGCAAGGAGAGTGGTTTGGAAAGAAAGGCCTCTCTTGGCATGTCACAGCCGTGACACTGGACGAAAAAACGGATTTGCCTAAGTTTGCTAGTTGAGCAAATCTATTGTAAATTTAGGGTACTAATGTTGCTACTTATTTGTTCTTGGTGCAAATTTTGTTCGAAAGTGAAAGTTTACTTTTCTGCAAGGGTGGCGTAAATGTGGAGTAAATTTCAAGTTTACAGATATTTTGTTTCACTTTTGCTCCCCATAGTAAATTTGGTGTTTAGATTCAAGTTTGCCACCATTTTGTTCTGTGTGTAAAAATCGAACGTCAAAACTGAATGTTTGCTTGATATTTTCTGGCATAGCAAAGTTACTGTGTAAATTTATGGTTACTAGAGGCGTAAATTTAAGCAAAATATGATCAAAGAACTATCTTTACGACCACTTTAACCAACGTTTGCACATTTACCAAACTTCACAGTGTTATTTCACGGAAGTTTTGATTTTCCATTGCATTTTCCGTTTCAATCACCATCACATTCTTCTCAAAGTTTATAATATTACTTGCTGCAGCTGGTTATTTCGGGTAAGGCCATCCCCCTTTTTTTTTCGTTTAGCGTCGAATGCGTTTCCTGATATTGTGTCGGTGGCACGGAAAAAATATTACAAGAAGTCTCGGAATAGGAGGCCCTGACGTAAAACGTTACCATTTACAATTTGGGTGAACAAAATGCACAATATGTGAAAGGTTTGAACCCAGGAGTCATTTCAATAGTAGATTGCAGAGTTTCATCGTCCGGGTGAATGTAGTCCTGAATGCACTCCGTCGCAAGAGCAGCCGCCATGTTTGTTGCCTAGGCTTCCATGTGACTTTGGCACATGCGCGATTTGATTTACATTGTCACGTGCGGCTTTTGAACCAATAGAATAGTGTAAAATAAACTTTCGTTGAACAGTTCAAATTCACGCGGACTTCACAAGCGATACAGCGTTGCAAAACGAGTAATTTTGTTATTTTCGGATAATAGAAAGCCTGTCTTTCTATTCAGCTGTTCTATTACGATTTATACCTTTGTTATTTTCGAGAGACAGTGATCAGTTGCGATATTCTTCACATAAAGCCTGTTTCCAAGTCATCAACTCAGCTGGATTGCAGAAAGGTATGTTCTTCTTGATATCGTGGTTCGTTTACTTACTTTGGTTTTCTAATAACTTTGCGTAAGCTTAAAACCTCAAAGATAAATCTTAAAATTTAAGATGCATGCACAGATATGCCATTGATTGATTCCATTTTGTTTACTGCAGAAATAACTGTACTCTTTGTTGCGCATCGTCTTCATTAATAGAATAATCTTAAGTAGCCGGATCTTGAGCTGTGCAGGCAAACATTTCTTTTACACCAATATAAGTCGGTGATGTGACCTTAGCATGTCCATAATTCAGAAATTTGGCTTGTTGTACAGCTGAGTTAATATGTTAGATCTTTGGGGTTACTGTACTTTTCAGGTGACAGCACTTGACAAAGCAGTGGTCACTATAATTTATTATTTAATATTCTACTACATTTCAAATGACAAATGATTTCCCTTTTGAAATTTTTACAGTCAAAAACTCTTGTTTTACATCTATACATAATTATGGTTCAGTGATGTTGTGAGATCTTAATTTGGTTCATTTTGCAAGTGACGGCACAAGTTTGCCAGATCTTGAAGCATATGTGTCATTCTGAGTGACCATTGTATTATTGTTCCACATTTAAATGACAAATGATTCTTATTTCATAAATTGTACCATCCAAAACTCTTATGGTTTATACATATGGTTCAGTGATATTGTGAGATCTTAATTTTTTTTCATTTTGTGAGTGACCACACTTGCCAGATCTTGAAGCCTATGTGTCCCTCTGAGTGACCACCGTATTATTGTTCCACATTTAAATGACAATTGATTCTTCTTTCATAAATTGTACCATCCAAAACTCTTATGGTTTATACATATAGTTTAGTGATATTGTGAGATCTTAATTTTGGTTCATTTTGCGAGTGACGACATATGCCAGATCTTGAAGCTTATGTATCATTCTGAGTGAGCACCATATTATTGTTCCACATTTAACTGGCAAGTGATTCTTCTTTCACAAATTGTACCATCCAAAACTCTTATGGTTTATACATATGGTTCAGTGATATTGTGAGATCTTAATTTTGGTTCATTTTGCGAGTGACAGCGTATGCCAGATCTTGAAGCCTATGTGTCCTTCTGAGTGACCACCATATTATTGTTCCACATTTAAATGACAAGTGATTCTTCTTTCATAAATTGTACCATCCAAAACTCTTATGCTTTATAAATATGGGTCAGTGATATTGTGAGATCTTAATTTTGGCTCATTTTGCGAGTGACGGCATATGCCAGATCTTGAAGCCAATGTGGCATTCTGAGTGACCACCGTATTATTGTTCCACATTTAAATGACAATTAAGTGATTCTTCTTTCATAAATTGTACCATCCAAAACTCTTATGGTTTATACATATGGTTCAGTGATATTGTGAGATCTTAATTTTGGTTCATTTTGCGAATGACGGCATTTTTTTCATTTTGCGAGTGAAGCCTATGTGTCATTCTGAGTGACCACCGTATTATTGTTCCACATTTAAATGACAAGTGATTCTTCTTTCATAAATTGTACCATCCAAAACTCTCATGGTTTATACATATGGTTCAGTGATATTGTGAGATCTTAATTTTGGCTCATTTTGTGAGTGACGGCATATGCCAGATCTTGAAGCCTATGTGTCATTCTGAGTGACCACCGTATTATTGTTCCACATTTAAATGACAATTGATTCTTCTTTCATAAATTGTACCATCCAAAACTCTTTTGGTTTATACATATGGTTCAGTGATATTGTGAGATCTTAATTTTGGTTCATTTTGCGAGTAACGGCATTTTTTTCATTTTGCGAGTGAAGCCTATGTGTCATTCTGAGTGACCACCGTATTTTGTTCCACATTTAAATGACAAGTGATTCTTCTTTCATAAATTGTACCATCCAAAACTCTTATGGTTTACACATAATGGTTCAGTGATATTGTGAGATCTTAATTTTGGCTCATTTTGCGAATGACGGCACTTGCCAGATCCTGAAGCATAAGTGTCATTCCAAGTGACCACTGTATTACTGTCCCACATTTTAAACGACAATACCTCATTATTTATACCTTTTGTACAGCTCAATGATGTCGAGGGATCTTTGTTAGTTCATTTTGCACGTAAATGCTTTGGCTTTATCATGCCAAATAACCACAATTAATCA